TCTTCAATAGTAATCTTTGATAGTTTATTTTCATCATCAAGCAATTAAAAATATTCCTTTAGATCATGAGTTATTTGGGTTGACAATCGTCTAAATCCTTAATATAACTAATTATCAACTGCATAACACTGCCTTTCCTTTTTATATTAAAGTAAACAAAGTAAGTTACACGTCCGGCAAAAAGTGTTTTATAATTAATTCCTTGCGAGAATAATCTAGGAAATCTAATATAAACTGCCTGTTCAGCCTAATTGAATATCCTTTTCCTTTAAGGTGATATATGTTATATGCAAATTCGAATTTGTATCTTCAGCTTTACAAGTTCACTTCGCAGAAAAAGAAATTTTTTTATGGAATATCTGCATCATATGTGTAGCAAGCTATTACCATTTACAACCAATAACGGTTAAGGCTTGTAAATATACTACCTACACTCTACATTGGATTCACATCAAATCACCAGTTACTCTGATGAATCGCTAAAATGCAGTAGGTAATTAATTTCTCGAGTAATTATTCAGTGTTAATGAATAATCAAGAAGTTTTTGCGAACGCACTCGCAATGAAATTGACTTGGAAGGAAGATCCTGTTTTCATTAGCGATGCAGCAATTCGTAATAATGCGACTCAATTCCTCTCAACATATATAGAGTTTAGTTTATCAGTATTGCAAATGCGAAATTAAAGAGAAAAGCTTAATAGCATCGCAAAAACTATCTAAACGAGCATTGCTTCATCGAGCTTTGCGATGAGGTATAAATACAATGTTATATGTACCTGCTTGATCTTTATATTATAGTTACACTGGTAGTATTTTCTTTGATCTAAAGAAATTGTTTGAAATCTTAAGAAAAAGGTTATTGAAGTAGTTGGTAATACTTTTTTAATTAAATGACGATACGCATTTGCCGCAAATTGTTATATCATTTAATTCGGGTAACGAAGTCGAATATTTTCAAATGAAATTCGACTAAATACTAAATAATTTCAATCCTGGTAATTTAGAGTGGATAAAAATTAAATAAACCTTCATATTAATATTAAATATTAATCACTATTACAATTTTCATATTAGTTCGACGAATCAACGACCTATCAAGTACGCGTCATCGTCATTGCTGCTGTGACCTCTCATAACTTAGTGGTCAGGTCATTGGTGCGTAAAGTCAAAGGTCCCGGGTTCTAGTCTCAGCGAGGGTGTAACAGTAGCAGCAATACTTCCTAATTAATTTGGAGTGAATAAAAATTAAATGAATTTTTGATTTGTTATAGTTTAAGGATTCAACAGATTGATGTACAAACAACTTTATTTTATACCTAAAGTACCTACTTCTTATTATAGCTTTTTTATTTATTTGAAACAGGTAAAAACTTTGTTATTGTGTAATTAAATATTAAATTAAATTGAAAGATATAAAATCATTTAGAGGACAATAATTATGGTGGATGCAACGGGTTTGTAGAATTTTATCTGATAGGTACCAACGTCTGTACTAACAAAACTTGTGTTAGATTTCTGATGTTTCAATAAATAAAAATATACATGAATAATATCAATAAAAACCTTGATTTCAGTAAAACTGAAATGAGAATTTTTGTTACATCATAGATAAAAGGTTACCTATCTCTTTTACACATCTAATAAAAGTAAATTACCAAATTATCAATTGTCATTTAATTTAAATACAAAAGTAAAAAGATAAATCATTATTAGATATTTCATTTAGTAATCGTAGAATGGGCAATATTGCGGATTTAAATGGAAAAGCATTTGCATTTTCGTCTTAATTTTTTTTTTCGAAGTATTCCACCTACAAAGTCTGCGCTTGTTGTATTATTCTTGGACATTTTGTAATGAAACTCACGAGAGAATTTTTATTACGTACATTTAACTGTCTTATCTATTAAAAACTTCAAGAATAGTCTTAGATGAATCATTGATAGATTACGCAGAATTATTTTTTATTGAGATGCTTCGTTTAGCTCTTAAGCTTATATTCGATATGTTCAATAAAGGAGATAACTTATTTGCCACAGTGTGATGTTCTTGATTACTACATTTTAAATTTAGTAAACATTTTTGTGTTTATTATTTTTTGTCAGCTAATTGGTTATTTACAGATCAAGGCACAGAAGAAAACAAAAGTTTACCCTTTTGAGATTTTAAAAAGGGGCACTATCGTAATTTCTCCCGTATAATGTAGGTCATGTGAAAATTATAATAAAAATACGATTATTATCACAATATTTACACTTTCTCTTTATTTAAACATTTTATCGATCAAATAGGCACAAATGTATACAAAGACTTCACTTTTTAATAAAGTTTTGTAAAAATGAAGCAGCCGATTTGCTGCATTTGTTCTTTCATTTCTTAAATTCTATAGATTGATGTTAACAAAATATAGAACGACTGACTTCATTATTGCTGTTGATGATAACATTATATAAATGCCTACGTAACTTTACAATGATTTATGCTAGTGTGTAACTTACTTAACAACAATTATTGCATCTTTTGGATAGAGGCGAACTACGTATCACTTAACAATTCTTATTTCTTTTCTTCTTGTACGCACCACACTTAAGCTCTTCCTCAATAATATCATTTCAAAAGCATTTACAGCCCTTATTGGAAATTTAGACTAGGAACTATATACAAAATAAAGTGAAGAATCTAATGTATTCGCATGATTATAGTTCGCCTAAATACTTTTAGTCAATTAGTCGATTGTGTTGTCCTCACTTTAATAATCCATTCGTTACGTTAACAAAAAATCACTGAAATCCGTTGGTTCCAATCCGTGATCGGAGAAATCCGTCTGCAGAAGCACTGGGAGCGATGGGTCATCGAAGTCAACGGGCGAGAGAGAAGGTTCCGGGAAGTCCGGGGATGCGAGCAACGAGTTGTCTGATAACGGCAACGACTCTCCATCGGATTCCAAGAGAAGATAGTCCAGGTCACTGTAGTCGGAGCCGAAATCGGGTAGCGTCGCTTCCGCGGAATTCAGCGTGGCACTCAGCGTCGAAATGTATTTCATCGCAAGCTTCAACGTCGTGATTTTCGTTAATTTTTCATTGTTACCGACGTGCGTTTGCGACAGGGTTTGTGGTACGGCCCTTCGTAACGTTTCGAACGCTTGATTTATTTCTCTCATGCGACTTCGTTCTCGTGCGTTCGCAGTTTTCCGACGATATTTGCTCAGTGGAGCAGGTTTTTGCTTTGGTTTCGCCGGTTTCGTCGGCTTCGTACTGTCAGTCTCGGAAGATTGTTGTTTACGTAACGATTCAGTTACTCTACGCACCGATCGTGGCCTGAGAGAATATTTGTCTTCCTTAGGGGACGAAGTCGTCGTGGGGTCGCAGCCCTCGTTGTTGTTCGCATCCGGATAGGCCATGTCTTCCAACGGATGAGAGAGACGTTGCGTGAGTTCGGCGTCGTACTGCAGGAGCGAATCCATCGTCGACATCTCCGACTGCGTTTATTTTGATAATGAACAATAAATTTATTCGGTAGTTTGTGTTGCGTTGCGTTGACTCGTCATTTGTCGAATAGGCATCGATTTGCGTGTATCGATCGGTGTTTAGCGCGTTAAGCGAATATTTACGCGCCTCCGACTACCAACCAATTTACTGGTCACGCTTGTTAAATCGTGTACACGAACTGATTGCTCCGTCAGTTACAACTGACACCGACTTCTTTCGCATTTCGGATTATATTGACGGCTCCATTCATTACTTACGCGTGCTAGCTGAGACAGATCGCTCGACTTAGATACCGCGTTTTTTTCTTTCTTAATTAATCGCACGCAATTCGTCACGCGTTTTATATTTCATCCACATCCGCACTTTATCGTTCGTCGGAATCTCCGAGCGAGTTCGTCTACTGACCCAGCATCGATCTCTCGGAGCTTTCGGCTCGTATGTACTTCAGAAGTTATAACATAAGACGCGTCTTGTCGTGGATGATGTTCGCGGATTATCAGACGTCCTATTAGGCAGACCGCGAGTTGGTCACTGAGGTTTATCCGGCGCTTTGGTGATCAGGTAGGTACCACTAAGAGACTTTATCCCCACCTGTGAACACGCGGCAGATCGGCCGAATCTCCTCGCATTATAATGCTTCAATGTTGCGGGCAATGATGAATAGGAAGAGGTCTCTTTGGTTGTGGAGGAGGAATAAATGATGATGGACATCTTTAACGTAAATGATTAGGGGCTGGCACAGTTTATGAAATGCGAGGTGTTCACTTCTAAATTCCGTTGCCGATGCTGATGCAACAAACTTCTCTTTCTCTCTTTCCCTCTCTGTCTCTCTCGTCACTTTCAATTCCCTGCCATTGCCTAACACTCATTAGGTAATAATAATTTATTAATTTAGTTAGTATTATTATTAACAAGTTGTTATGTCAAAACAACAATTTTGATCTTACGCACACTACAGTAAGCGAAAGAGAAATACAAGGGAAGTATTCGTCGTTTGCATGAGTACCTGCTATGTAATTTTCTATTAATTTTAATTTCATTCTGACTTTATTTCTGTGAAAAATTAAATGAATTATCGTCTTACAAAATTCCGATAGTCTGATGACAAAATATTAACTCAATCCATGTTATCCTGACAATGGTTTCTTCATTTGAGACACTGGGTGCTTTTCGCATGTATTGGGTAGATCTTAAAAAGAAAATTTACTTCAATGGATTACTTGGATTTGAAAAAAAAGTTTGATGAAGTTGATCGTAGGTTATTTCTTAAGATTTTAGGCTACGGCAATCAAAAATTATAAATCTGCGGGTGTTCCACACGGTTCCATCCTCAGTTCTCCATTGCTTTTAGTTTTTATCAATGATATCTCAACGAAGTTAAACGTTGTACAAGTGTTGCTCTTGATGATACCCATAGGTTACAGGAAGATCTGGATTTTATCTGTGGTTGGGCAAATCTCAATGACATGAAATTAAACGAGAACAAATGTAAGGTGTCGTCCTTCTCAAAATATAGAAACATTATAAAATAATAAAACAAATCACATGCTTAATATTGACAGTTACTCTTATCTTAGTATGGTTTTCGATTCTGTAAGTTTTCGTGATCATATAAATGATAAAATAGCTCGAAATCCCAACGCCAAAACACGACACTGTAGTTGTCCGAAGCAGTTTTCGGTAACAAGGTTACCTTCTTCAATCCCTGTTTTAGAGCTATTTTGTTTGTTCTACAACAACCGCCAAAGTTTTTCCAATCTTCATATATAAATGATATTGTTTTCCAGGTTTTACCTTTATATCTACAAATGGGTTCAAGGATAATTTATACACATATAAATTTGAATAATTTTTATACACATTTAGGATTGAAGAAGTTCAGCATAGATTTAATATGAGAGGTCATCTCATTTCCTGGGAAGGTCTATGTAATTCAGTGATCATGACTGTACTATTTTGTGACTAAATTAAATTTAGTAGCAATCAAGTTATTACATAATATACAATATTTAGCTTTCGTTTGTTCTGAATAAAATTCTGATCGCAGTCCTGAACTTTTTAACTTATGTTATGAGACACCGCGACCTATATCTGAGGATTTGGCTGGTTCCAGTGTTGAAGTTCATTCGACTAGAAATAGATAAGGAGAGTAGAATTTCATACTAAATAAATTTGTGTATATTTATTAGGGTTTTTTTTATTTAAGCGAGCTTTAAAATTATTTAAGCTAATTTATGGTTAATTTACACATTATTATTAAATACAATTATTACTACATAAAAGACTTTTAATTCCGCTGATGAACTGGATAAATAAATAAACAAATATAGGTATATTAAACAACCAATGTTAGATCTAATATTCTACACTTTTGCTTTGTTCAGTGTAAAAAATGATTGACGTTTTTGAAATACAATTAATTTTTGAAAATACTTTTTGCGGAAATATATGAGTAAACAACAATAGCAAATTCTTTTCCTGATTTCGTTGTTTATGCTTTCGATTACCATTTAAAAGACGCTAGTCCAAAAAGAAATGCATTAATTAGCATATATTAATATTAATTTTTTAATGGACAATCTAAATAAAAAACTGAAACTACATTAACATTAAACTTTGGAATGGTTTAAAGGATTACAAGTGTATTATATACTAAGTTTGTGGAAAAGCTCGGTCTATAAGCTTATTCATTATAAATTTCTAGAAAAGTATTTGATTGAAATATGAAATTTAGTTTACATCTTTATTTTCGTCTCATCTTCAGTAGGCGTATATATGGCAAAGTTTGCCTCAAGAGTTTGTTTCTAGTTAAGTACCACAGTAAATTAGGAATTCTTGTTGAACAAGGATGTTTATAAAAACCTACCGCAAAAATTATGATTTTAATGGGGTATAATTTAAACTCACTCTTGTATTTTACACAATCAACATGTGCTCCCAACTGGATTTAATGTCTATATTAAGCAAATCAGACAGATTTAACGCGAATATTATATAGAGAAAATTTCTGTAATGATGCAGCAAATCTCCTTAGTATATTTTCAATTCACCAGGAAAAACTTTATTTTACTTTCTAGTTAAATAACTCAATAATGTTTAGCGTTCCTAATATGGAATATGTATAGGCTCTTACGAATTGTCAAGTGGGTAATAATGAATTTAGTAATTATTGATATTTTTGTTAACAGTTAGGTAGCGATAAAAATGAAAATATTAATATAAATAACTTTCAGATTATTCGACTTTTGAGAAAATATCTAACTGAATTCGTATGTAAACACACTAAATTTCTTTTTTATTTGTTGTAGTCTCTACAACATGATCAGTGTTAAAGTGAAATGAACATCAGAATGTTAACTATATACAATAATAATATCTTTTTGTCTTTTGCTTAGCAACTCTTGAAGGTAACATAAACAGTATTTGTGAGTTTCATTTCCACCAGTTATTGCTACAATCTAGTCTAAAGCTGGAGGAGTTTAGGGGAAGAACCTCCTTGTAGGAATAATGAGAATGGATAGGTGATGCTTGAGGAGATACAGAAGAGATGCCGAAATAAAAATAAAAGGGAAGTGAAAGATTGTCTGTGGAATATTGTTTCACAGTATTTGTCTAAATGATTCAAGGAAATCTCAAAAAGCGTAGGCAATAGGTGGTAGAGGTCGTACACTTTAAACCAGACTGGTCGGTGTCCTGAAAATTCGGTTGGCGAAGAGTCGAAATAATACAGTATATGAAGTACAACAACCGGCATGGTGGACGCCATCCATGGTACAATTTAGATGAATTTATGTAATATGTTTAACAAGATTTCGTCGTCATCATAAGGTCGTTAGTTCTAAGACTGGTAGGATATGCATCCCCATTTTTTCCTATCGTAGCTTAATCTTCTCTTTTCATTAAAACTAGAACATTTCGTATCTCTAACTATTTGTGAACAGTAATCTAATCTAGATCTACCTCTACTCCTTAGTAGAGTGAAGATTCGGGCTATAGGGCCGTGGTCTAAGTGAACTATTGCGTCCAGACGTAGTAGTGCTAGTAGCACTACCACTGAGGATGTCAGCCGCAGTAGCTGACGAAACGACTGGACACAATAGTTCACTTAAACCACGGCCCTATAGCCCGAATCTTCAACTCTACTGTGGATTCCGGCCGTGAAAGCCTTTGTTCTTATATACCTCTACTCCTGTTAACTCCTGTTTCTAATATGTCTCTGACTAGACTATCATGCCTGAGAAGGTGTCCTACCAACCTAATTCGCCTATAGATATCTTATTGACCACCACAGTGTCCACGGAACCCTCAACATTCGCATGTAACAGCATATTTCGAACGCTCTAATCTTTTCCTTTCCGTCGCGCTCACCGTCCATGTTTCTCACCCGTACAGCGCAGCTTTCCAGACAATCCTTTTCGAATTTCTAAATTAACCGTAATAGATACTATATCTAATTCAAGCCTATCTCAAATTATAAATTTCCTAACTTCGTTATTCTATTGTTCTAACATTCCACGTTCCCACTCGTGAAATATTTCATTTTCCCCTATTACATTTGATGGCATCCCACGAGGTAGTCCTCGTCTGGACATCCGAATAAGGGACTAGTTTACATCAGGAGTGTTTTACCCTAGAGGACGTCATCATTTGAATTAATAAGGTTTATTTACAACTAAATTTTGCATTGTACCACGGATCGCGTTCCCATACCGTTTGTGATACTTCATAAAACTTCTTTGTGTAATACTTACGATATAGTTCAACATGGAACTGATAAAGCTTTTATGTAACATTTATTAATTACAGGAAGTATTTTGTATCATTAGGATTGTGTTTCTGTTAGTAGCCCTTCGATACAGCGCGACAGACAAAACGGCTTTAAAACCTGATCAAAGCTTCAGTTATTTTTATGAAATATTGAACGAAAAACAGTGGCAGTTTTGAAATAGTCTATTAACCTGGGTAAAATGTAAAATCTAAAAAAACAAATTTTACAAATTATTATTTTACTTACAGATTAACTGCGTACATAGTTTATTATCCACAATTACTTCGCACATAAGTTTTATAACTAACAAGTCACCATTTGAAATGGTATTTACGATCAATTAACATTTCCTCCATTATTTAACGCATGTAACTGTTACTTTCAATTTTTCCTTTTCAGCACGAGTAATTAACAAAATAACAAGGGTATTTATATTTATACGTATATTGTCCATTCTTCAAAAACGACTTCTTTTTAGTCTTTGAACTTGTTTACTTAAAAACCTGCTGTACGGAAAGGTTAATATCCTTATCTATGTAACATAACGTCTGATTTAAAGCACACCTAAACTACTTTCGCTTTAAATCGAATTACAAATAACCGATAAAATCGTTCTATTTTAAGGCATCTAATAAATTTGTCGCAGCCGTCTGTCGAAAACAAAATAGATCATAAATGATATATGTATGTTCTGCAGATTATCGCGTAACTTACAGGCAGGTAATTACACTATGCGCTTTTGATGGAAATTTTAATTGAAACACTACAACAAGCAAAAT